AGCCTGCACGAGGAGATCTGGCTGCGCCGCCCACCTGGCTTCACTGGGTCGTTTCCTGCTGGTACCCAGTGGAGCCTCTGGCGACTAGTCTACGGTCTCCGCCAGGCACCTCGTGAGTGGCACGACACATTGAGGACGACACTTGCGGCTCTTGGGTTTGCTCTTTCCACTTCTAACCATTCGCTGTTTCTTCGCACCGACACTTCGCTGCCGCCGTTCTACATCTTCGTGTACGTCAACGACTTGGTTTTTGCCACTGCTGACACTGAGGCACTGGCCCTTGTGAAGTCGGAGCTGCAGAAGAGACACACGTGCATAGACCTGGGTGAGCTGCGCAGCTACCTTGGCTTGCAGATCACCAGGGACAGAGCACGGCGCACCATCACCCTGACTCAGTCACACATGGTGCAGCAGGTCCTTCAGTGCTTCGGCTTCCAGTTCTCCTCACCACAGTCCACTCCTCTGCCTACCGGTCACTCGCTCTCAGCTCCACCTTCGGACGAGTCCGTAGAGCCAAGTGGCCCGTATCCAGAGCTTGTGGGCTGCCTCATGTACCTAATGACCTGCACGCGACCTGACCTTGCGTACCCTCTTAGCATCCTGGCTTGCTACGTTGCGCCTGGCGACACCGGCGAGAGCACAGGGAGGCTGCTAAGAGGGTGCTGCGCTACTTGTGCAGTACATCGGGCATAGGGCTCGTGCTTGGAGGACGGGGTCGAGTTGTCCTCACTGGACACTCAGACGCCTCTTGGGTTGACGACCTGGCTACGCAGCGGTCGTCACATGGTTACACGTTCAGCCTTGGTTCCGGCTCTGTTTCTTGGCGGTCTACCCGCTCGTCTTCTGTTCTTAGCTCCAGTTGTGAGGCTGAGATCTATGCAGGAGCCATGGCTGCACAGGAGTTATGCTGGCTCACCTACCTGCTGACCGACTTGGGAGAGCGGCCTCATTCTTCTCGAGTTCTCTACGTAGACAACAAGGCCGCGATTGCCTTGTGTCAGGAGCACAGACTGGAGCACAGAACGAAGCACATCGCTCTGCGCTACTTCCTTGCTCGAGAGTTGCAGCTGTTTGGTCAGCTTCGTCTTGCTTACGTGGCCACACGGGCCAACACTGCTGATATATTCACCAAGGCTCTTCCGCCTGGTGATCATCATCGTCTCTGTACTGCTCTAGGCCTTGTACATGCTTTCTCTCACTTGCTCACTGCGTGACCTTGCTTGTACTGTGATCTATATATATACATGCATGCTTGCTCTTGCTAGGTTGTGATCACTGTACTGTTTGTTCTCTTTTATATAACTCTGCATGTGAACTGGCCTTGTGGCCATTTGCTTGGGCTGAGAATGTGCTGTGACTTCGTGATCCACCCTGAGCTTGCTTTGCTCTTCTTGACTGGTCTTGTGACCACTAGTTCTCCCCCACTTTGCCTATGGGGGTGTGTCAAACTATGATGATGTTTGTGCTGTGTAGGCTGTAGTGGGGTAGCCCATAAGGGGTACAACCCAAATTAGGGTTAGCATTTGTACCCACTTCTCTGCTCAATGCATTCATTCTCGCTTAGTTTCTTGACATGCCGTCCCGTCGTCCGCGATCCCCGCTCATCGCTCCGCACCATCCCGCCGTCCACGGCCCCCGTTTCGTCGCCCTGCAGACGCCCGCGGCAAACGCCAGCGCCAGCGACCAGCCCCAGCGCCTGCGCCAACAGCTTCGCACGCCGCCCCCCCCCTTCCCTTCCACGGCTTCTGCCGTGGGGGGGGGGGAGATCTGGGGGTGGCGGGTGTGAGCAGCCGGAACCCGTCCCTCCCCTCTCTCTTCCTCTCTCCCTGCGAACTGCAGGGGGGAGAGGAGGGGGGGGGAGGGTGAAGGGGGTGGAAAATGAGGAGAGAGAGTGTGAGTTTGTGGTGAGAGAGAGTGTGTATGTTCCCTTCTCCTATTATGTTTTATCGCGTCGTGTCGCTTCAATTTGTCGTTTCGCGTTTCACGTGTCGTTTCTCGTCGTGTCGTATCGTTTCGTTCGTTTCCGTCATTTCCGGGCGCGCCCCTTGTCCTGCACATCGAGCATCCACTACGGGGGTTAAACCGCAGGCAGGGATTCCATCATGTGTGCTATCGGTGGGCCTAGCTGCGACACGGTGAAGACTGCACTTGGGTGACGTCGCGCTCCTATACTAGCCTTCGTTGCATGCAGTTAAGGGGGGATGTTAGATTATATATATAACTGCATGTAACTAACTAGTGTAGTATCAATGTAGATTCTCTATTGTTGGTGGTGTACCCCCCTTCCCACCTTCCCTTGAACTATATCTTGTACCCCTGCCTTAGTGAGAACCCCTTCTTCTCTCTCGACATCCTCTCTTCTACTCTAGCCTAAGTTCCTACCTCTATGGTTCCTAGGCTCTAGTCACATCTTGACAGTGACGCGCGACGGGCCTTTGACTGAGGTTGGGACTGAGGTCAGGAGGTGCCGAAGTGGAGGCCCGGAGCGCGGGTTACCGGCTGAGCCGTGAGGTTGGTTTGCGACGGGCGAGGTGGCGGGAAATGGTCGAGGCGAGTGTCGCGAGTGGTAACGGTGTTGAGTGTGGCGAGAACAGTAATGTACGCGCTAAGGAGGGATGCGGAGTAAGGAAATAGAAATTTCCTTACACTACCTCCCCCCCCCCCTAAGGAGGCCCTCCTTACGAGAGTGCGTGTACATCTTGGAAGTTGCGGCTGCGTAGATAGTCGGTGAGGACAGGGTGGTTTTTGTTGGGCTGAGAAAAGCCCTTAGGATCTTTTAATGACTAAGGCTTAGATTAATGTATTAGCGGAAGCGTCTTTGATGAGACTTGGTTGAACCACCTTGTACGAGTATGTGAGAACAAGATAAGTTGAATTATCATGCAGAGATACAACTTTTTATATAAGGTTACAAGAATAACATAAAAATCGCTTTGTATTTAACCGTAATTGTAACGTCTAGTGTGATTCGATACATCAACGACTCGGGTAACTACTCAATGTCGAGTTCAATTATTTGTCCTTGCTGTCGCGCTGCCTCGGCAGTTAAAGGCCGCTGACCTTTGACCTTCGCTTAAACTTCCGGGTGTTGTAACTTTTGTCAATCGCTTTACTGTAGCTTGGTTGACTCGGTGTTGCTTCGCTTAGGACTTGTTTCGGTCTTGTTGTAGTGCTTCGGCATTCCAGAGGCGCATTTACATGTTTCCACCAGTTTTCAATCTTGTTTAGGGGTACCCATTTATCTTCGGTTGTCGTCGCGTTCGATGTTGGTGACGTGGCCTTGTGTGTCAGCAGCATGCAGTACTCGAACTTCTGCTTTTCGAGTTGCTTCAGCGGAAGAGAGAGCAATTAGCTCTTGCTTGCTCGACTGCCACGAGATAGGACCGACGGGCTCGAGTCGGTAGATGTAGCCGGTGCACGACCGCCTGTTGTTAGAATCGCCAGCGTGATTGGCATCTACGTAGCTGATTAGCTTCGAGATCGTGGTTCCAGTCTTGTGGTAGGTTAGGCCGATCGTCGCGGTGCTGACAAAGTAGTGTAGTGCGCGGTCAAGTTTCGCCATGTGATCGGCTTCGGGCCTTTTGAGGTAGGTTGCGAGTTGGCTCGCCGAGTAGGATAGGTCTGGTCGGCAGGTGACGGCTACAAAGAGTAAGTATCCCAGTTTTCGTTGGTAGTCGCGTGAGCCGGCAGGTCCGGGTGGATTAGATCCTTCCTGGTGATTTCCCGCGGTGTAGCGATAAGGCGTGGAGATGGCAGCAGGCGTCAGTCCGAAGCGCTTTGCGATAGTGTCGGCGTACTTTGCGGCGCTGAGGTAGATTGCGTTCTCTCCGTTCATAATGTTCACCGATCAGCTTCGTGTGCTGACGAGGCGAAGGCTCGGTTGCCACGGAAGCTGTCCGTGGGGTCTCGTTCAGCTGCCAGGCTAGGTACGTCTGAAGGGTGAGTCGCTTGTAGAAAATAGCGTCACGTGTTGCTAATGATTCCTTCGAGTGGACGTCGAAAATCTTCCACGCGTTGTAATGTTTTTCGATGCCCAGGTGTAGCCCCCACTGTGAACGTTGTGAAAATCGTCCGGCTCGTGCATGTCAAACAATATATATGTTGTGTTTGTTTAGGCTACAGTGGGTTAGCCTTTAGGGGGTACACAATTCTAGGGTTAGGTACTTGTACTCATTTTCACTGCTAGTTCCACCATTCCTGTCTGTTCATTTCGACATGGTATCAGAGCAGGTCCTTCGCTAGGACCGTTTTTTTAGGGCCCACCACTACTGCCTACCTACCTACCTACCTGCGCCCTAGTGCGCCTCGTTTTTCACGGCCCCCTAAGGCCCCGCGACCCGCGACCCGCCCCTTAGCGACCCGCGCGCCGCCCCTTACGGCCTCGTCGCCTTCACGCGCCGTCCCTTAGCGGCCCCGTCGGCCCCGCGTTCGCCTCCTAGAGGCCCCTTACGGCCCCGCGCTCGCCCCTAGAGGCCCCTTACGGCCCCGTCGCAGCCCCTTAGCGACCCCGTCGGCCCCACGATCGCCCCTAGAGGCCCCGTCGGCCCCGCGCTCGCCCCTAGAGGCCCCTTACGGCCCCGTCGCAGCCCCTTAGAGGCCCCGTCGGCCTCGCGCTCACCCCTAGAGGCCCCTTACGGCCCCGCGCTCGCCCCTAGAGGCCCCTTACGGCCCCGTCGCCGCCCCCCTTAAAGGCCCCTGGTCGGCCCCGCGTTCGCACCTTAGAGGCCCAGTCGGCCCCACCAGAACCGAGCCGCCCCACGTGCGACCGCCACGGCCCCTCCAGGACCGAGCCGCCCGAACCGAACCGCCCAGTCCGAGCCGAGCCGCGCGACTCGAACCGAGCCGCGCCGCCCTACCCGAGCCGCGCCGCCCTACCTGAACCGAGCCGCGCCGCCCGTACTGAGCAGCCCCTCTGGACTGAGCCGCCCTACCTGTCTCACACTGCTTACGGCTTCTAGGGTGCTCCCACTGCTACTGCTACTGCTGCTCCTACTGCTCCTATGGCTAGCCCACCTGTGCTAGCTTTCGATGCTGAGGGCCGCCCAGTGAAGTTTGACACCTGGCTAGATGACCTGCACCTCTTCCTACAGCTCACTGCCAAGGAGGACATCTCACTGTACGATCACGCCCTAGGCCATGCCACTGCACCTGCTACTACTGCTGACAGCTCTACCCGCTCACAGTGGCAGACTCGTGACGCCCACGCTCGCTTTGCTATTCGCAACTCCCTCCCCATAGATGAGCGCGAGCACTTTGGCCAACACAAGACTGCACAGGACCTGTACAAAGCTGTCGTTGCCCGCTACTCCTCACCCGCCTCTGCCGCACTAGGCCGTCTCTCGCTTCCCTACCTGTTCCCCGACCTGTCCTCTTTCCACACAGTCGCTGACCTCATCACGCACCTCCGCACTAGTGAGGCTCGCTTCCGCGCCACTAAGCCTGATGAGTTCCTTGCCAAGAACCCCCCCCCGCTCTGGCTCACTCTCTACCACCTAGTCACCCGCCTCCCTGACTCTCTGCGTGCAGTCAGGGATTCCTTCCTAGCTCGCTGCCCTACTGAGCTCACCATTGCCCTCCTCGAGAAGGAACTACTTGCAGCTGAGGCTAGCATAGTCGCTGTAGGTGCCTCTCGTGGCGACCCCCGCACCCCGTTCTTTGAGGGGTGTTCTCCTTCCCCCCTTCTTCCCTCTGTCGCCTCTGCTGCTGCTGTCGACCTCCTTGGTGCTGAGAAGGTCGGGACTGCGTCTGCTTCGAGCGGACGCCGCAGCGGCAAGGGCAAAGGGGGCAAGGGAGGCGGAGGTGACGGCGGGGGGGGAGGTGGTGGGGGTGGTGGCGGCGGTGGGGGTGGTGGCGGGGCTGGAGGGGCGAGTGGCAGCGGTGGGGGTGGTGGCGGCAGCGGCGGGGGAGGTGGCAGGGGCGGGGGCGGTGGTGGGGGTGGCGGTGGACGCGGCGGCGGCAGGGGTTGGGGTGGTCGAGGCGGTGGGGGCGGAGGTGGGGGTCGTGGAGGCGCTGGCGGTGGCCAGAGCCAGCAGCACACACCGACGCTCCAGGAGGTCCGTGAGTGGTACTCTCAGCACGGGGGGGGGGGGGTGGCTTTAGCTGCACGTACATCATTCGCACTGGTGACCGCACTGGTCAGCCGTGTGGGGGACCACACGCCACGCAGCGTTGCTTCGCTCGCCTCAACGATGCCTGGTGTGTTCAGTACCCTCAGGCCACTGAGCTGCCCCGCTGGGTTGATCTCCTGAAGAAGGGGATTGATATCTATGCTCTAGACTTTGATGCTATTCTCACTGCCATGTATGTGATGTCTACTAGTGGAGAGGGTGCTGAGTACCTGTGTGTTCCGCCCGACCCGGGCATTAGGACCAGTGCGTCTGCCGCTTCAGGTACTCGCGTGTCTGCTACCCCAGGTACTGGTGAGGCTGCTGCTCTAGGTGCTTGTGCGTCTGCGCCCCCTGGTACTGAGTCGACTGAGGCACTACACACCTTCACACTGGACTCAGGTGCTTCTCGCTACTTCTTTCGTGACCGCACTGTCCTTGAGCCGCTTGCTCGGCCAGTTGCTGTCTCCCTCGCTGACCCCTCTGGGGGCCCGGTCGTTGCGACCTCCTCCACTGTCCTTCCCTGTCCTGCGGTCCCGTCAGGCACACTGTCAGGTCTCCACCTCCCCTCGTTCTCTACGAACCTGGTGGCAGGGTGTGCGCTCCAGGACGCGGGTGTTCACCAGTTCACCCCTGCCTACGAGCGCGTGACACACTGCACGTGTGCTCGTACGGGCCGCCACTTGGCTACCTTCACTAGGCAGCCGGGGTCGGACCTGTACACACTGACCACTGAGTCCCCTCCGGTAGCTGCGTCTGCGTCTGCGTCTGCGTCAGGTCAGCTGTCGCCCCCCTGCTCGTGTCGCTCTCTGGCGCACGAGACTGTCCTCTGGCACCACCGACTTGGCCACCCGTCTGTGCAGCGCCTTCGTGCCATGCACAAACGGTACCTTGTCTCTGGTCTTCCCAGGGTCCTCCCTCCCCTCCCACCCTCGCCTGCTCCTCCCTGTCTTCCCTGTGTCGAGGGGCGGCAGCGCGCCGCTCCTCACTCCTCCTCGTTTCCCCCGACGACTGCTCCCTTGCAGATGCTCCACATGGACGTGTGGGGCCCAGCCCGCGTCCGTGGTCAGGGTCAGGAGAGGTACTTCCTGATAGTTGTTGACGACTACTCGCGCTACACCACGGTCTTCCCCTTGCGCACCAAGGGTGAGGTCCCTGATGTTTTGATCCCTTGGATCCGCAGAGCTCGTCTCCAGCTCAGCGAGCGTTTCCACTCGGACGCTTGCACTCTGACAGAGGTGGTGAGTTCTCCTCCGACCTCTTGGCAGCCTACTGTGCTGAGCACGGCATTGAGCAGTCGTTCACGCTTCCGGCCTCTCCACAGCAGAATGGGGTTGCGGAGCGCCGCATTGGCCTAGTCATGGAGGTCGCCCGTACCTCCTTGATCCATGCGGCTGGACCCCACTTTCTGTGGCTGTTTCCGGTCCGGTACGCTGCGCATCAGCTCAACCTCTGGCCCCGTGTCTCCTTGCCGGAGACCTCGCCCACGCTGCTGTGGACGGGGGAGGTTGGCGATGCGTCGCGTTTCCGGGTCTGGGGATCTCGAGCTTTTGTCCGCGATACGTCCGCGGACAAGCTCTCCACCCGCGCTGTTCCCTGCGTCTTCCTTGGCTTTGTCCCTGACGCGTCTGGTTGGCAGTTTTACCACGCCACCTCGCGCCGGGTCCTGCCCTCTCAGGACGTCACGTTTGACGAGTCCGTCCCCTACTACCGCCTCTTCCCCTACCGCACTGCCCCGCTTCCCCCCCCCGCCTCTCTTCCTCGCGCCAGGTGCTGCTGTGGTAGACCCCCTCCCCCCTCAGGGTGCCGCTCCCTCAGGTGTGTCCCAGGTAGACCCGGTTGAGCCTGTTGAGGTAGCTGTTGACTCTCGTCCTGCTGCGGGTGCGGAGCCTGGGGGTGCGGAGCCTGGGGGTGCGGAGCCTGGGGGTGCGGAGCTCCGCTGCGGGTGCGGAGCCCGGGGGTGCGGAGCCTGGTGCGGAGTCTGGGGGTGCTGAGCCTGGGAGTGCTGAGCCTGAGGGTACTGAGCTTGGGGTTTGAGCCTGGGGTTGCTGAGCCGCGGAGTCCGGAGTCTGGTGGTTCTGAGTCTGGTGGTGCTGGTGCCTCCCCTCTTCAGCGGGAGCTGCCCTCTCTTGAGCGGATCCGTGAGTGGTACGAGCGGCGCTGCACTCTCCGGAGTGGCGCGCCTGGTGTCGCGGACCCTGGTGCTGGAGGTGCTGCTGCTAGCGCTGCTGGTGCTGGAGCTGCTGGAGGTGCTGCTGCTGGCACTGGAGGCTCTGCTGGCTCTGCTGGTGCTGCGGACCCTGGAGTTGGAGCTGCTGCTGGTGCTACGGACCCTGGAGTTGGAGCTGCTGCTAGTCCTGAGGACCCTGGTGCTGCGGACCCTGGAGTTGGAGCTGCTACTGGTGCTGCGGACCCGGGAGTTGGAGCTGCTGCTGGTGCTGCGGACCCTGACGTTGGAGCTGCTGCTGGTGCTGAGGACCCTGGAGCTGGCGCTGCTGCGGGTGCTGGTGGTGTCTCTACTGGTTCTGGAGTCGCTGCGCGGCCCCGGCCGTACTTCGTTCCGCTCCTTCAGCAGGTTCTTGGTCAGCCTCCTCCTCCTTGTCCTGCTCCCTCCTTAGAGTGTCGTGGTCAGCCGCTCCCTGGTCCTTCTCCTTACACTGGTCCCACAGGAGGTCTTACGGAGCGTCGTGAGCCTGAGTCTCGTCCTGTGTCGCCTGCGTCTCGCTCTGCGTCGCCTGTTCGTGCTGCTCGCACTGGTCGTCGTGTCCCGCGTGAGCGTCCTCCTCCTGTCCCTGGCACTCACTACATGACTCTGCGTCCCTCTACTGCTCCTCAGCGTGTCCTTCTGCCGTCTCCTCCTGCGTCCTCTCTTCCTGAGCTTCCTGACCCGGAGTCTGACTCCCTTCGTGCTGCCCGTCCTACTGTCACGCGTCTACTCGCTACTGTTGTCACTGACCCTACCTTTGAGTCCTCTGCTGCGTCTGCTCTCGTCGCTGAGTTGGTTGACTTTGCTGCCGCTTGTCGTCTAGACTACGCCGCTAGCCTAGTTGCTGCGTCTGAGTCTGTCTGTCCTCCGTCCGTCGGGGGTGAGTGTGCTCTTGGCACGGACGTCCTTGAGGACAGGCAGGAGGAGTTCCAGTGCTTTGCCGCTGCTTTGCCTCATCTCGTGTCCATGCTAGTTGCCCCTGAGGGAGACCCGGATGCACCAGACATCCCGACCCTGCGCTCTTACGCAGAGGCGATGGCGGGTCCCTACTCCTCTCAGTGGCAGACAGCCATGGACGCAGAGATGGCTTCCTGGAAGTCCACAGGCACCTACGTCGACGCAGTTCCCCCACCAGGGGCGAACATCGTCAGTGGCATGTGGATTTTCAGGGTGAAGCGGCCGCCGGGTTCTCCGCCTGTCTTCAAGGCGCGTTACGTTGCTCGAGGCTTCAGTCAGCGTGAGGGAGTCGACTTCTTCCAGACCTTCTCCCCCACCCCGAAGATGACCACTCTTCGGGTGCTGCTGCACATAGCCGCTCAGCGCGACTACGAGCTTCACTCTCTTGACTTCAGCACTGCTTTCTTGCAGGGCAGCCTGCACGAGGAGATCTGGCTGCGCCGCCCTCCTGGCTTCACTGGGTCGTTTCCTCCTGGTACCCAGTGGAGACTACCCAGCTGACCCGTCGCTGTTTCTGCGCACAGACACTTCGCTGCCGCCGTTCTACATCCTCGTGTACGTCGACGACCTGGTCTTTGCCACTGCTGACACTGAGGCTCTCGCCCACGTGAAGTCGGAGCTGCAGAAGAGACACACGTGCACAGACCTGGGTGAACTGACAAGCTATCTTGGCTTGCGGATCACCCGGGACAGAGCACGGCGCACCATTACCTTGACTCAGTCACACATGGTGCAGAAGGTCCTTCAGCGCTTCGGCTTCACGTACTCCTCGCCTCAGTCCACTCCTCTGCCTACCGGTCACTCGCTCTCAGCTCTGCCTTCGGATGAGTCCGTAGAGCCGAGTGGCCCGTATCCAGAGCTTGTGGGCTGCCTCATGTACCTGATGACCTGCTCTCGACCTGACCTTGCATACCCTCTTAGCATCCTTGCACGCTATGTCGCTCCTGGCCGTCATCGGAAGGAGCACATGGATGCCGCTAAGAGGGTGTTGCGCTACTTGTGCAGTACGTCGGGCATGGGGCTAGTGCTTGGAGGGCGAGACCGAGTTGTTCTCACTGGGCACTCAGACGCTTCTTGGGCGGACGACCAGGCCACTCAGCGGTCGTCTCAGGGTTACACCTTCAGCCTTGGCTCTGGTTCAGTTTCTTGGCGTTCTACACGTTCTTCTTCAGTTCTCAGCTCCAGTTGTGAGGCTGAGATCTACGCCACAGCCATGGCAGCCCAGGAGCTACGCTGGCTCACCTACCTGCTGACCGACTTGGGAGAGCGGCCTCGTTCTCCTCCAGTGCTGTACGTCGACAACAAGGCTGCCATTGCCTTGTGTGAGGAGCACAGACTGGAGCACAAAACGAAGCACATCGCTCTGCGGTACTTTCTGGCTCGTGAGCTGCAGCAGCGTGGTCAGCTTTGTCTGCGTTACGTGGCCACTCAGGCCAACACTGCTGACGTGTTCACCAAGGCGCTTCAGCCTTGTGACCATCAGTGCTTCTGTACTCTTCTAGGCCTTGTGCCTACTGGACCTCACTTGCTTACTTCTTGACTTTGCTTGTACTGTGATCTCTATATATATACCTGCATGCTTTCACTTGCTAGGTTGTGATCACTGTACCTCTTGCTATATTATCAAACTGCATGTGAACTGGTCTTGTGACCACTTGCTTGTGCTCGGAATTTGTGTGGTATCCCTTGAGATCCACCCTGAGCTTGCTTGTGCTTTGCTTTGCTCTGACTGGTCTTGTGACCCCTTGTTCTCCCCCACTTTGCCTATGGGGGTGTGTCAAACATTATATATGTTGTGTTTGTTTAGGCTACAGTGGGTTAGCCTTTAGGGGGTACACAATTCTAGGGTTAGGTACTTGTACTCATTTTCACTGCTAGTTCCACCATTCCTGTCCGTTCATTTCGACAGTGCAGTGTGCGGTCAGTACTGTACGATGCAGCCAAACACTCGTAACATTTTTGTGTTGCCCAACGTTCCTGTCCATAGCAGATGCGGTGATGCGTTGTTCGGGAGTGACGACGACGAAAGCAAGTTGTGCAGCATGACAGCATGGTCCATTTTTGCAGGCCATTGGCTCTCGGGCAGTCGCAAGCCACGTAGCAGCTTGCGCATGGTGTTCTGGAGGGTCCTGTTCATCCTTTCTGCTACGCCTTGCTGTTGATGAGCGTAGGGAAGGGAGATGAGTCTCTAAATGCCTCTATCCCCCATGTACTGCTTGAACCTTTGTGACTGATATTCTCCTTCCCCGTCTGACTGTAAACTTTTCAGTTTCTCGCCAGACTCCCTTTCCGCTACTGGGTGCCACGCAACGAAGGCTTCGAAGGCCATGTCGCGGCTTGGCAAGTTGAGGTGCCAGACATATCTTGTTGCAGCGTCGATGAAGGTTATTACGTGGCTATCATCTCCTTGTCCACTTTCGCGGGCGTAAAATATGTCGCCGTAGACTTTCTCCTGTGGTGCGTATGCTGGCGCGCTCGGGTTGTGGTGAGAGACGAACGGCTGATGCGTTAGTCAGCTTCGGGGCAGGTAAAACAAGTTCCGCGAACTCGTTGCAGTTCTCTTCCGTCTAGTAAAAGTAGTGAGTCCTTGTCAAGAACTCCTGCTCTTATTGTGTTGTTCAGTATCGTGTTGCTGGGATGGCCTAATCTTTCGTACCACAGTGATTCGCTGGCGCGATGTCCAGGTGATCTTCTGTACAGGTCGGAGTTGGAGTAGAAGCCGGCGGTGATGTTGGCACTTCGGTGAATGGTGCGTGGAACGGGATTCAACTGTCGTGCTGGAGTCGGTGCGGGCTCGTCAAAGGGAGGTGGTGCTGATGAAGAACTGGCGACAGGGAGGTTTGGTGTTGGTCTTGTTGTTTTTGCCTCTGCTTCCGCTGGTATTGTTCCTGCTGTTGTTGGCTCTGCTTCTACTCGTATTGTTCCTGCTGCTGTTGTCTCTGCGTCTGCTGGTGTTGTTCGTGCTGCTGTTGTCTGTTGTATGACGGCTAACGATCTTTTCCATTCTACTTCAAGTATGGTATGCGAGTACCAGAAGCCTCCGGGACTGAAGTCGGGGTCGAGATCTGGCGGGTGCGTCCATGTAGTGAAGTTGACTATTGCGTCGTTGTCGGCAGTGCCTCGATCTGGGACGAAGTCGAGGACGAAGACGTTCTTTAGGACTACTTTCCGATGTAGAGTCCACCTTTCCTGTGGTACAAATTGAATTCTTGAGTGGTGCTGTCGGCTTCGAGGTGGGTTCCCTTGGCCATGAGTTGGCTTACGCTGAGTAAGTTGTGGCCGAGCCCTTCTGCAATCAAAACCTTGGACATCTGTAAAACGACATTAGTTTCGAGTGAATGTAACTGGAACACTCCTTGTCTTCGTGTTCGCAAGTTCTGGTTGTTGGCGACGGTGATTACGACTTCCCGGTTGAGGCGTTGTTCCCATTGAACGAAGCGATCTGAGGAGCACATGTATTGTTCGCAGCAGCTGTCCAAGAACCACGTGTCCTTCCCGGATGGTTCATTCTGGGCGACAGCGGCGTATGTCGGATTCGGTTCCAGCAGCTTGCGGCGAGGTGTGCGTTCGTCGAGCAGCTCTTCTGGTGAGTAGGTTGGTGGAGATCTAGTAACGCAGGAGTCCGTCCTTGTCATGCAGCTGACGATGTTCTTTGTTTCTTGCGCAGGTCGTGGTGATGCCTTTAGGGACTGCGCCTGGTTGGAGGGCTGTGGCTGTGTGGAGGTTACTTGACTGCTTGAAGGTCGGAGCTGACGCGACGGTGTTGGTTGCTGACAAATCGGGTAGTTGACGCGCGAGTGCCCGAACGTTTGACACAGATGGCAGAAGGGCGGTACGTATTTCTGTGCTTGATGTTCGTGATGTCTGTTGTTGTTGTTGTTGTTGTTGTTGTTGTTGTTGTTGTTGTTGTTGTTGTTGTTGTTGTTGTTGTTGTTGTTGTTGTTGTTGTTGTTGTTGTTGTTGTTGTTGTTGTTGTTGTTGTTGTTGTTGTTGTTGTTGTTGTTGTTGTTATTGTTGTAGCGCCTCTGAGTGTGGAAGGCGAATTCTAGTGCTGATGCTCTTTTCTTTTGTCGTTCTTCGTGCAGGTCCATGTCTTATTGCTTGGCATGCAGTTCTGCGCAGAGAATTTCTTCAGAGATTCTTCCGTGCTCTCGAAGAATAGCACGGGTGGAACACCACTGGGGTCCAAGGCCTGCAAGAATGAGGGTGAAAAAGGCATCTTTGGATAGTGCTCCGCCGCATCGAAGGAGTTTGTCGCGCAGACCGCGACATCGACTGATATATCCCATTGCCTTTTCATCGGGTTGCATCTGAACTGTTGTCAATTGCGCCATGAGACGACTCTGATTTATGCTGACCTTTGCTTGATACAGGTTCTTCAGATGGTTGTATGCGAGCTCAACGGAGTTGCCATATACGCGATAAGACCGAATGTTCTGCTGCTCGCTTGCCGTGATGTTTCGCAGGAGGATGGTGTATTCCATCAGCAATTGATACGTGTACTGCTGTTTGTCGTATTGTGTCCCGTATGTTGGATATAGCAGGGAGGCGTCGAATAACCTGAGGATTTGGGCTCCTTCCATTATCAGCTCGAATTCGAAGGACCATGTATAGAAGTCCTCCCCGTCGAATGGCGTTGTTGTTTGCAGTTTCAGTATGTGTGCAAATTGTGACTGCAGCTGAAGTGCGTCTATTGGCTTGGTTTCTTGTCCAGGTGTAGCTGGAAGTCGATTCGGCATGAAGCTGACAGAGCACCGTTGGGGCTCGTATGGCGCGAAGGTGGGTTGCCGATTTTTGCGCGCAAAGGAAGAGCCATCAAGGCTCATGGGAGTAACTCCGTTGTTGTTGTCGCTGTTGTTTGACTGCGCAGGTGCCGCTTGCTGTTGCTCATAGAAGGACATAAAGGAGAAAAACTTCTCCATCATGCTTGGGTCGAAGCCAGCTCCTGGGTTCGTAGGCGTTTCAGTGGATTCTGCAGCTGGTCCTTGGGCGGTGCCTCCTTCTGTCTATAGTTCAGAGATCGGAGGTGGAGTAGGGGTAATGCCAGGGGATCCAGTAGATGATCTCCTCTCCTCCTGTGTTGGCCATGTCCTCTTGTTGTCTGAGTTTGTGGAAAGTGAAAAAAAAAAAAAGTTGAGCCTTGTATTACTAGCTCTCATACCATGTTGGGCTGAGAAAAGCCCTTAGGATCTTTTAATGACTAAGGCTCAGAGTAATGTATTAGCGGAAGCGTCTTTGATGAGACTTGGTTGAACCACCTTGTACTAGTATGTGAGAACAAGATAATTTGAATTATACTGAAGAGGTACAAGGTTTTATATAAGGTTACAAGAATAACATAGAAACCGCTTTGTATTTAACCGAAATTGTAACCTCTAGTGCGATTCGATACAGCGACGACTCGGGTAACTGCTCAATGTCGAGTTCAGTTATTTGTCCTTGCTGTCGTGCTGCCTCGGCGAGTCAAAGGTCGTTGACCTTTGACCTTCGCTTTAACTTCCGGCTGTTGTCACTTTTGTCAACCGCTATACTGTAGCTCGGTTGACCCGGTGTTGCTTTGCTTAGGACTTGTTTCAGTCTTGTTGTAGTGCTTCGACATTCCAGAGGTGCATTTACATGTTTCCAACAGTTTTCAATCTTGTCCGGGGTACCCAGTCTTCTTCGGTTGACGTGCAGTCTTTCCAACGGTTCAGGAACTCAATCCTGCGAGCTCCACGTGGGTCACGAACTTGGTGACTTAGGATTTTCTCGGGTCTGATGATTGGCTCGGTGGGTGGTCGTGTCATGCTGGCTGGGCGGTTGCCGGGCAGTTGGCTTGTGGATGGTACGTATGGGTGAAGCAGGCTGACGTGCAATGACGGGCTGACGTACCAGTCAGCAGGGAGGAGGAGGTGGGCGGTGACGGGTGTGATCATGTGGCTAATGCGAAATGGCCCGCAATATTGGGGGCGGTGTTTTGGGGTGATGGGCAGGCGGAGGTTTTGGGTGTCGAGTAAAACAAGGTCATCGGGCTGGTAAGTGACGGGACGGCGGTGGCGGTCGGCGTTGCGCTTAGCGATCACATTCGCTTTTTTTATTGCATCTGCTGCTCGGATCAGTGCTGCCTGGAAAATTTCCGCGAATTGTTGCGCGCGTGGTACTGGGTTATTAGGGTTCGGGGTCATGGGCACTGTGGGGTCTTGTCCGTAGTTCAGGTAAAAAGCTGACTGTTGGGTCGTGGTGGATGGTGAGTTGTTGTATGCGAATTCGATGAGTGGCAGCTGATGTTCCCATATAGTCGGGTCGTCGCAAGTGGCTCGAATCAACTGTTCCATTGTCTGGTTTGTCCGTTCTGTCTGTCCATCTGTTTCGGGGTGGTACGATGAACCGAATTGTAGTCGTGTGCCGAACTGCTGCCACAGGTTCCGCCAGAAGTTGCTGGTGAATTTCGTGTCTCGATCGCTGATAATGGTTGCTGGTATCCCGTGTAGTCAAATGATGGTGGCGATGAAAAGCCGAGCTGTTTCATCGGTCGAGATTGATTTCTTGCAGGCTCCGAAGTGTGCCATCTTTGTCAATTGATCGACGACGACCAGGATTGCGTCGTTCCCACTTGCTCCGGCCGGTAACCCCGTGACGAAGTCCATCGTCACCTGCTGCGAAGAACGCTCTGGGGGTGGTATCGGCTGCAACTGTCCTGCCGGCCGCTTCCGTGATGACTTCATGAGCTGGCAGGTGGGACACGATGCCACGTGTCGCTGCACGTTGGTCAACATTTTGGGCCAGTAATAGTACCGCTGCAGCTGCTGCCTTGTCATTTCTACCCCGAAGTGACCTGAGGTAACGCCGTCGTGTGCATCCTGTAGTAACAGTTCCCTTAGGAAAGTGTAACCCGGTACCCAGATGCGATTGGTGCCGGCTTTTACGTTAAAAACTCCCTTTGGTGCTGCAAAATGCTGTGAGTTTCCACCTGTGAAGAACGGGTCTGTTTGATAGCCGTGGATAAATAGTCCTGTTAGTAGTGGGCTGGTCTGGGCAAGTGGTATGGCGTGTATTTGGGCAGTTGGGCAGGTCAGTGCGTCGGCGATGTTCGATGCCCCCTTTTTGTGTCTTGCTTCTTTGGGTCGATTTCAACCCCAGCCTCCGAAATCACGTGCCTCAGAAATTCTAACCGGTCCTGAAAAAACTCACACTTCGAACACTTAGTCAGTAGGCAGTTTTCGTCTAAAATTTTAAATACTGCTTTTAAATCGGCTAAGTCTGCTGCTTGTCGCGGCTGTAAACCACGATGTCGTCGAGGTAAACTATCACGCATTTATCTAACAGTGTTCTAAACGCCTCGTTCATGGTCATCTGAAAAGTCGCCGGTGCGTTGGTCAGTCCGAAGGGCATGACGGTGTACTCGAACGACCCGTACCTAGTCCTAAAAGCTGTCTTGGCGCAATCTGACGGTTCGACTCTAATTCGGTGGTAACCCCTCTGTAAGTCAATCTTCGAAAAGACGCGGGTTGTTCGCAGCTGGTCATCAGTTCGTCAGCGTGGGGAATCGGGTATCGCGACTTGATGGTTACTCGGTTCAGTGCTCGGTAGTCAATGCACATGCGAAATCCTCTATCTTTTTTCGGTGTGAACAATATCAGTGCGGCGAACGGTGACGAGCTCGGTCGGATGATTTTTTTCTCTAACAGGTAGTCTAACTGCTTCCTTTGTTCGTCGAGCTCGGACTGTGTTAGTCTGAAATGTCGGTGTACAGCTGGTTGTGCCCCCGGTTCTAGCTCTATTCAATGATCGTGTGATCGCTGAGGTGGCAGTCCCTCCGGTAGATCGTCCGGAAAAATCCCCAGGTGTCGTTTCAACAGTTCCTATAGTTCGGGCGGTACGGCTTCTAGCAGTTTCTGGAAATCGCTTGGCTGCTCTGCTTCTCCCACCAATGCTATATCTACCGCGTACGCGTCAGCTCCAGCGGCGACAACCCGTTTCATCGTGATGGCGTTGACGTGGACCGTTGAAGACTCAGGCGACTGCCAGCGAGGTAGCTCGACCCAGTTACCGCTACTTCGCACAGTGCAGCTACCCGTCGTCCAGTCAATTCGCGGGTTGTAGCGTCGCAGCCAATCACGTCCCAGTAAAATGTCGTGCCCATCCAGTGTCGTCGCGAGCATTTCCTGTGTAAACCCGAAGTTCCCCCCGCAGCGAATCTTCACTCTCTCCACTTTTTCCTGTATGGCCAGCGGTGTGCCGTCAACTAATCGTGTGTCGATCTCCGGTAAGCATCGGCTAAGTGTTAGTTGCAGTCTCCGTGTGGTTGCGGTATTAACTAAGCTGTGACTTGCTCCTCCGTCTATGAAAATCTTCACTGCTGTCCCCTGTATTTTGCCGTGGATCAGTATTGGGCAGTCCGCCGCTGTACCCTCCTTATTCATCCGAGCCCGATCGATAGCGTGAATTGGTACTATGACTCGGTGAGGGTCGGTGAGGTTGGGCGAGCAGGTTGTCTCGTCAGTAGTTGGCCCGATTTCTACTGACTGCAGGCGTTTCCCTGCCTCTGACACTCCCTCCCTTGCTCTGCTCCCCAGCGCCTTAGCTCCTCTAGGCATTCGCTCTTGTAATGTCCCGGCCTATTGCAAGCAAAGCGGCGCCCCTTGAATGGCGCAGCAGCTGCATTCGTCGCAACGGCACATACGGTGGCGTGCTCAGTCGATCCCTGAGGACGTTGTCCATAGTAGGACCCCGGTCTCGGACGGCGCAAAATGTCGATTTTCTCGGCGAGCACTAGAATTTCGTTGAAGTTAGATAGCCCTCGAAGCATAATCTCGTGCGAAATGTCCGGCTTCAGCCCTCCGACATAACGGTCCACCCGCTCCGCCTCGTGCATGTAGCCGACTTGCTCGCACAGAGCGAGAAAGCCGCTTGTGTAGTCTTGAACTGACCCGAGTTGTCGCCAAGTGCACAGTTTCTTACGCGCCGAAATAGAAGTCGCAATCGGCTCGAAGCGCGCCCGAAGCCCTGCGCACCACGCATCCCACGTGCTGTACTGGGCTGTTTCGTAGAATGAACTCTAGATAATGGCCGGCCCCTGGGCTCTCCCTCGCGCGACGGTGACTCGTAGGCGTGCGGCAAGGTTACAATCATTCGCCACTAGTCCGAGGCGGGGCCCCGTAGCAGCGAAACCGCATATCTGATCTTCGCTATGTCCGAGATGATGTAATTGGCGTAAAAAAATACGTTCATCGTGAAGACCCATGATTGAACCGTCAGACCTTCGCGTTGACTAGAATCGAAGCAGGGCGGCGTCGCGGTTTGAGTGGTATCGGCTCGTGAATGTCGTCGTTGCCTACTGGTGCCGCAAATCCGACGTGTTTCGCGAGGTGGATTCACGGTCGGAATGGCCCTGGTTCTCTCCATGCCAGGCATTGACTGGGCGGCGCCTTCACTGGCTATGCTGAGCGCTGTCACACGCTGTCGTGCTGCGACTGTGTGCCGGGCGAGATGATGATCGGTTCGTCCGTTTGTGCGGGTGCATTTTCAGGTGTCTGTGTTGGTGCAAGTGCATTTGTTGCTGATTGCCGGCGGGCGGCGTCAAGTTCCGCCGTGAGCGTCGCAACTTCGAGTGCTGAATTTTCAAGTTGGCTCACGAGGTGGTCGAGTTGCTCCTGCGTCAACGTGGCGATGTTGAATTCGGCCATGGCGGGTGTCGGGCGAGCTCAGCGGGAGCCTCGGTCGTGGCCGTGCGTGCTTACGAGAGAGCACTTCGAGCGGCGGTGCTTGTTCGCTGAGAGACGTCTACCCCCTCCAAAAATTGAGATAGTGGGGAAGCGAAGGTGTGGGTGCGGTCCGAGAGAAGATCGTAGGCTCTTAATACCAAGTGTTACGAGTGCAATTGAGCGAGCGAGCGAGAATTGCACTATCGAAGCAAAACAGTACAATGAGCGAAGGGATGAGCGAT